GTCAGTTAGAAAGTTTCTAAACTCTGCAGTAACTCTGCTGTTGTCTCCGGAGGTAAACCAGATGCAATGCTAGAACGTCGCAGTGGGACGAGGCTTACATACTTCTAGGTAATTAGCTAGCGATTCAGATACTTTGGTGGCTCTTTTAAGTATTTCAATGTGCTCTTCCTCTTTGCAATGGAAGATCAGTTCTTTTGATCTTGTAGGGCATATCTGGATAATTTTTATCCCCTGTTTTTGCAGTTTCAACTTAGAAGCTAGCTGGGTGTGCTATTGGCATTCTTCCTCTTAACTAGCAGAACGTGTTCTGAAGAGCACTTTTTTGCAATAGACCATATTGACTTTTTTCTCTTTTTATGGGACACTGGGATGAAGTCACCTCCCTTTTGTTCTAAATCTGCTTCCTCAGGACTGGGTCGTTGAGCCTCAATCTCGCTTCCGTTCTAACCGTCTTGAGCTTTACTTAGTAGAAGTGTTCTGAGCTGATTCTCCAGTAAACTAATTTGACCTTCCTGATGTGTTAAGAGAATCCTTTGTTGAGAGGCAATATTAAGAATGTTCTAGTTAGAAATGCCCTCGAAGTCTGCCGTTTTTAGCCTGGATTTATCTCTGCACTCCTTCAGATGTGTCTGCACGTGCAGCATGAGAGAACTGAATTCCATAGATTACAATTCATTTACAGAGTAGACAGTGCAAATAACAGACTCACTAGTGCCTAAATTGAGTGCATCATTATGAACACTTGATTTCAATTAAAAACAAACAGCATATCATACAAACATTATATGAGCATATCGTAGGACCAGTACTGAAGCTAATTAGCCAAAATGAAAAGTACTTATAACAAACACTTAATTAGAGTACACATGCAATCACTAACTCTTAATGAATATTGTCAAGCATACAGCTTAACCTTAGACTATTACTAAGTAGGCATTTGAATATTGTATACCTATTACAGGCACTTGCACATTTATTACAGATTATTGAATTGCACAGTCTCTTCCGAGCATTTGATTAAATTAATTAAATAACATTAAAAGATAAGTACTTTACTGAGTGTTAATTAGCCAAAATGAAGTTTGTTCTCTTATTGCAAACAATTAAAAATTTACATACACAGGTATAAGCTCCTAATGAGAATTAACAATAGTTTTATATAGGACTGTTATTGAGTGCTAAACCTATAGTATATATATCGGTATGGTTATACTGATATTTGTATGCATATTGGTATATACATATGCAAATGAGGTATGTATGCTAATTCTGTATGTATATGCAAATAGATAAATGCATGTTATATGTACATGTGGATAAATGCATACACATGTATGTATGTGTAAGTACCATGTATGTATGATATCTGTGGATGTATAAAATAATAGCAAGGAAAAGACTGAGCAGTGTTGATGTGTAATAGCTAGATATGGTAGATCACAGATTCATATTGAAGATGAAGCATTGTGATTGCATAGTATGCTAATATGTTGACTTGGTAATATCTAAGAAACTTGGCAGTTGAGGCAGTTTTAATTCCATTTTTATTTCCACTTGACATTTATGGCTGCAATCACTTAACACCCTAGTCGTGCCTGTTCACAGAATATTTATATTTTTGGTACTATGACGATAGCAAGCAAGCACAACGGAATTATATCCAAGCAGTGCAGAAGTTCAGGCTAAAGTGTGTAGTTATGCAAAATGGAAGCACACAAAGAGAAAGGTTTTGATTTGAGTTAAAAGTTTCAGTTCCCAATTGTTGCATCATCAGCACTGTGCAGGCCATGCTAAATGGAAGGATTTGGAAATGATGCAATCCAGAGAAGTTATTACGATTTTAAAAATGGAGAGGAAGAAATAAAGGGTTACTGTTAGTTTAAATTATAATTTTGATTTACCTATTTTATATCTTACATATCTTTTATTGTACATATATATATATTTGAAAATCACAGATTTAAATTCAAATATTATATTAATTTATAATTTTTTCGCATTGAGCATAGAAGTTTTTTTCAAAGAGATGAAATGTGATGATATTCCAATTATTGATGATTTTATGGAAAGAGATTAATTCCCCATGTAAAGTCAGGATCTTTCTATGACATCAGCAATAATTACTCTTATATATTTGCTATCTATTTTTGTTTTATTTTTAATATTTGTGTTTTATTAATTAAATTTAATGCATTTTCTACACTTTACTTTCTTTAGTTTTACAGCATTTACTTGGATTTAACTTTTAAAAAAATCTCTCATTAAATTAGCATTTACTCTTCATTTCCTAGGCGATAATCAAAATGAATATCAATAACATATGAGCCAGTTTCACCCAGAACGTCCTTAACAAAGGCTCACCAGTGGCAGAGGTATAAAAGCCACTGAACACGGGTAGTTCAGTCCAGGACTTGAGTCCCGGAAAATGGGCTGGCTGCATGGGTGTTTTCATGGTTTTTCCCATGTGTAACATGGATATGAGCCAGTTGCCCTTAAAATATCCTCCACAAAGCATCCCTCCCTTTCTGTCTCGTGCCTAATGATGGAGCATGTAACAAATAAATAATAATATATTTGTTAACGATGTTATTTGCTCATATAGGCAAGCAGCACTAGCATATTTTTGCATAATCATACTATCTAATTTTATCTATGTTACCAAATTTATTTTATTTCATATTTTACTGGGAAACTGAATTACTTTTCAGCATAAGTTTGTTTTCCCCCCTAAATTTAGAATGAAATTGTCGTCACTGTGGTGAGGTGGTGAAGTAATAAAAAGAAATACTATTTTAAGAACATTTGTAATCTAAGTATTCCTCACATTTCTGTGCATAATGAAAATACGAGCTGAATTCCTGTAGAAGTGACTTACGTAACAGCATCTATATTTTAACAGGATACTTATCTGTTTATGAAAGTTCCAGTCTTAATAGTTTATGTCAATGAAAGTCAGAATATTTGGATTATGACCAAGGCATAGAGGGCTGGCTGTCTGCCCAAGGGAGAAGGGGCTTCATGAAGGATTTTTTAAGGGAAATTGGTTGGTATTCATGTTACACATGACACCACATGCAGTCAGCTAGTTCACCAAAATGTGAACCGAAGCTAGCTCTCAGTGTTCATTGATTTTACCGCTCGACTCCTGGTGGGTTTATACAGTACAAAGTCCGTAATCCAGACTTGTTGAGACTTCGGCAATTCCAGATTAGGGTTTTTTCCACATTATAGATCATCAATTTAAATCTGGTATAAGATGACATGCAGAAATTATACAATTAAAAATATGAAACCGTAATTTATGAAATAAAGAGCAATTATGATCTAAAGGGTATCAAAATTTACAAAAAAAAAAAAAAAAAAAAAAAAGCTTAATATTTATTTGTTTACTTTATTGAAACATTTCTTTCAATGTAAGTTGTTTAAGTTGCTTCGTTTTGTGTGCTAATCGCGCATGTGTAAACATTAAACGTGCATGTGTAAAGCATACCAAAAAACATTTTTGTGGCTTTGAGGTCTGCATTATAGATTGTTCCGGATAATGGACGTCTGAATTGCAGACTTTGTACTGTATAAATAAAAAAAACTAGTTAATAAATCCACTTTAAATTTTATTTAGTTAATTTCACCAGTTTTTCAGTGTCATCAAAAATGTATTTTTTCTGTATATTTCCCCTTTTTATTCTAATTTTTGTATTTAATATTGCTGCCTGAAACGTGCAAAATGCGATACAAAACAATGAAAATATAATCAATAAAATATTTTGTATACTAAAGGAGAATATTTTAAAAAGTATACTCTAAAGAAGAAAAAAGCTTTTATCACAAAAATGCAGAAAAAACAATGAACAGTAATGCAGTTGAAAGATTAAATACTTACTATACAATGGGGGCAGGATGGGTAAAAAAAAAAGTATAAGAATATTAATGAAAAAAGTAAACGAAGCCAATATCACAAAAATACAAGGGGATTTGGTTAATATAAATATAAGCTGTTATACGATATTTGTAACAAAATTAATGCAAATTACCGATTTATGCAAGAAACGGATGGTTAAACATCATTTTCGAGTATAAATTAAAATTGTTAATCAATACATGTAGTTCTAAATTCAGTTTGAAAAGAAACAAAAACTGATTAGACTATATACTGATTTTAGGCATACCTAGGAAGTATTTGCAGCTAAGGCATATTTTCATTATAACACAGAGGAAAATTACTCCACCATTCGACAATTGCTTAAGCTATGAAATTTCAGCATTGTATGTGTTCCCCTAGTTTAGGGAAAAGAGACAGCAGAAAAGAGAAAAATTCCTTTGTATTCCCTAGTCTCTTATCTGAAAATTAACAAAGGCGACTCGTAAAGGAAAGGTTTCAAAACAGTAATAATTTTGCATTTTTTCTGCTTAATATTCCTTTGAACTTTTTATTCATGTGTAGTTTCCCTTTAGAATGGCAGCTAAAAGGGGGTGAAAGTGCATTCGGATTACCTGTCTTTTTAAATGAAACTTTTCCAGACTTTCTAGTCTTTTAAAAGTTAATGCATGAAGAAAAATAACTTTTGAATGTCAAAAGTGTAAATCATATATATATATATATATATATAATCAACCTCATGTGTGCTATGTGCATATTTGGGTTGTCACATACTTTTTGGCAACTCTGTGGATTGCCTCAAAAATACCTTTTGGCAACACTGCAGCTTGCCTCATAAGTACTTTTTTGCGATATGGTGCATTGCCTCATTACTAATTTTTGTGACTTTTCAGAAGGAGATATGTCAAAAAAGAAAGTGCCTAGTTTGCATTTAGATTGTCATTATTTAAATTTTATAATCCAAGTTTTTTTTTTATGATATTCTTTTCCATTTTCGACAGGCTTTATTGTTACTTGATTTTCACTTGCAAAATAATGTGTGTATAGTAAGTATATTTACTACCAAATATTGTACTCAAAGTGTTATCCCAGTTGGTAATCTTATATTTTTTTTTCTTGCTAGAATCAAAGCCAGTTATCATCACGCTTGCAAAATTTAGCTGTTGATCGAGGGGAATATTCTTGCCCCTTATGCCGTCAACTGGCGAATTCTGTTATACCTATAATTCCCAATTTTGGAAGAACAGCAGCACTTGTTAATTGCCCTGGGAGGACACTTAGTAATCTTGCATCAGATCTGAGTAAACTGGTGCCATCTCATCTATCAGAGGTAAGCCTTCATTCTGACACTTCTGTGTGTTTAGTTTCTTTAGTTTTTAAAAAATTCTTTTTAATTTTTTATATTTTCCTGTTAATAGATTATATTAAAATTACTGTCTTGTTGAAGGACCTTTTTATTTGTTTCATTTTGGTTCCTAAAATGGATATTTTGTTCCCATATATTATCATTTACAAAATCTTGCATATTAAAATAATCTGCAATTTCCATAGCAAAGTATTATATTTAGGTTATATGAATTAGTATTAGATTAAATTTCCAATGCAATTATTTTAGTTATTTCTTGAAAATGAAGCTTAATATACTCATAGCAGCATTATCATTTATTCTCAGTTTAATGAGGGTATTTTATTATCAGATTTAATAATTTTGCATTTTTTCTGCTTAATATTCCTTTGAACTTTTTATTCATGTGTAGTAAAGCACATTATGTATCTTAGTCAGAACATCATCATTTATTCTCAGTTTAATGAGGGTGTTTTATTATCAGTTTTAATAATTTTGCATTTTTTTCTGCTTAATATTCCTTTAAACTTTTTATTTGTGTGTAGTAAAGCACATTATGTATCTTAGTCAGCTAGTAATCTAACTCTGTCAGATAATTTTCTTATTTTGCTAAAAAATAGCACACATCTCTTCATGTTTTCTTATTAAATCTAACGGAGAACTTTAATTCCATACTTTAATAAAATGAGTTGTTTTTGCAAAAAGTACTTATAAAATGTATTTTTCAGTTTGTTGCATCTGCCCCTTTTTTTAAATGAAAATATATTGTTTGAGATTTCTTTCAACATAGTTTATTATCTCTGATGTTTCTTAGTCTTCTTATTGTAAAATTAGGTTATTGGCTGTGGAGTCAAAAATAGTCAGAATTCATTTTAACATGCAGATCAAGGCATAGCATTTAGATGATTCTGTGAAATATGGAACAAAATAATTACAAGGTAACCAAAAATGTTTTTGCTGTTTTGGGCAATCAGAAAGAAAAAGTCACAAAACAAATAATAATCACCTCTAATCCTCAAAGTAATCACCATCAGCATCCAGCGCCTTTTGTCAATGAGTGGCTAGCTGTGCGATGCCATTGCAGTAAAACTCAAGAGTCTTGGGTGCAAAGAAGTCTTTGGTCAGTTGTTGAAGGATTTCCCACAAAGATGGTTGTCCAGGGAAGGGAAAAGATAATAAGTCTGTTGGGTAGAGGTCTCGGGAGTATGATGGATGGTGTAGTGTCTCTCAGCCCAGTCGCTGGATGGTGTCCCTGGCCTCCTGCGCCACATGCGGCCTCATATTGTCATGGAGGAGGAGTGCACCCTTATGATTGACCATTGCTGGCTCTCTATGCATCAGTGCCTGATGCGCATGTTCCAACTGCTGCGAGTACAGGCCTGCTGTAATGGTTAGGCCCACTGTCAGGAGCTCATAGGCCACTACTAAGTGACTAGTCCGCCAGATACAGACCATGATCTTGCGTGGATGGGGAGAAGGTTTTGCAGTGTGAGGCACAGGGTCCTAACCAATGTATGGAACACCTGGGTGTGTCTTACTGGATCCACTTGTCATTGCTGGTGAGTACTTGATCAAATCTGGATGTATTGCAATGCCAAGTAAGCAATGACAAACAGGCAGCGACATGCTGTTGCTGTTTGCATCGGACAGTGAGTGGGATACCCACTTTCTCAGCTTGTATGCCTTTCCTATGAGGTGCAAATGGAGTCTAATCCTTTCATTAGATACCTGGAAGTATGCAGTAAGTTCACCATGTTTGGTTACTGTCACTCTCTATGAGTGCTCTCAGGGCCTCATCATCCAGCACTTGTGGCCGACCGCTGCATGGTGCATCACTAAGAGAGATACCCCATGGCCTGAACTTCTGGAACTATTGCCTGGCGGTTCATTCGTTAATGGCATCATCCCTAAAGGCCTGGGAAATTCAGCAGCTTGATTCTGCTGCTGACAGGCCCACTTTAAAATCATACAGAAAACAGCTCTGAGCAAGTGCCTTTGATACGTCCATTTCAGTCAGTCGCTGTGTGAGTTATGTTTGAAGTACCGATGCAACACGCTTTTATACTCTTGGTCAGTGTCCGGACTCCCATCCTAACCACTTCATTGCCAGGTCTGGTGACTATTTTTATGTTTGGATTCACTCTTCCAATGTCATATCAGAAACGACAAGAACTTTTTTGGTTACCTTGTGTAAAATTGTGTTTAGTTTTTTGCATTTTTGATAATGCCTTTAATGTATGTTTTTAAATTTTTAATTTGTATACTCTGAATGTCTCACAAATGACACAAAATGTTATTTGGTTGCATATCTGCTTTCATAGTAATAGATGAGACTATTTTTTTTTTTGTCATACAATTTCCCAGTCAACAACAATCAAAAACAAACTGTCTCATTTTCTTGTTGATATAAAAAATGCAGTTTTATGAAGCATGTCATGCTCTGACAGATTCATGATATTGCTATCAAGTTTCAGAATAATTGAGCTTGTATGGTTAATATAAAATCTCCACCCTCTAAATTTCATTGATATTTTGGTTGGTTTTCCAATGATCATTTCTAGTGTTTTAACTTGAATTAGTGCAGGTGATAACTGAAACACAAATGAATTCTAATAATATCATCATCATCAGTTATTTATTTAAAAAGATTTATAAAAATAAATTGAATAACATTCTTCTAACAAAGTTTACATTTATAATATTTACTTAAACCACAGTTATGCTTCTCTGTGGTTAGAAATTGCATTACTTTGAATGCATGCTTTTACAGAGCAGTATTTCCATGTACAAAAATACTTCGTACATACTTACATGAAAATAAAAATTAATGTTTTCATCCTTCTAATTAATCAATATTCATATGTATTTTTCTTTCAAACTGGTAATAGAAAAATTATTTGAATCTGAAATGCCTGGTGACATTCAGAAGTTCACTAAAATTTCGTACTGATATGCCCAATTCATTTTACTAATTGCTGATTACGACTTTGCCTTATGTAATTTATTTCTTATTACAATTAACTAATTCCATTGATCTTTGTCAGCAAATTAGGAATCTTTTTAAATTACCATTTATAATCTTGAGTAGAGCATGTATGTTATTTTTGATATTTTTTTCTGTGGATGTGTGTGGAAAAGTCATGTGAGATATTTTTTTTTATTATTTTTTATGTATTGTAGAAAATTATCAGCATGCATTTCCATCAGCTAAAATTTGCCTGAACTAGTTAAAGCACCCATATAGGTCTTTGAAACATTTTTGTGTTATTTTGTATCTCTAATATTACTTGACAATTTTTTCCACGCATGTTTCTCCAAGACTCTCAAGAATTCTTCCCCTAGTTCCTAAACCTTTCTGTAGGGGTTTACTTGCTTAAATGCTGATCATTGCAGAAATACTCTCGCAATTGTGGTCCCAGTTATTTCTATGAAAGAAACACCCTTAATCAAGCTGAAGGCATGGTCCATAAGTTGCAATGGACATTGGAAAGGTATAGACACCAATTGGAAAAGATTTATTCTAATCTGCAAGACAAGTTTTCTTCTTTCTTTGTTAATAACATTAATGATATTTGTCCCCAGTCTTTTTTTAAGGGAAAGGTAAGCTAATTTGCGTGAAGCTAATATAGGAAATGCTAGTGCTTTGTTCTGGTCATCAAGCATGCATAACATTTTATTACTTGTTTTTATTGATTCCAGGATTTACTTTACTATCCTAGTTCTTTACCATATTTCAAATAGTGTTAAAAGAAGAAATATTGCTATCTAATATATATACATACACACACACAAATATATTAATATATATGAGGGCAAATGGGAAACTAACCTCCGTTTCACTATAAATAAAAAACCCACAGATTCAACATATTTTTTATTTACATCTGAAAGGTACAGCTCTTCTCTATTTTTCAACATAGTCACAATGTACACTGTGCAAAAAAAGGGGGGCAGTTCTATATCTCTCGTTCTACTGGGCTGATTGACGAAATTCAACTTGCGTTTTTCATGTCTTGAAAGCGCAAGTTAGGATATGTTTTAGATTTATATATAGAGCATTGTTCTAATATAGGTGTGTTTACACAAAATCAGACTTTTCTGAAATGACATGCAAATTTTTCCCATATTTCCAGTCTATGACTCAAATTAGGGCAAGTTGTCAAGTTATGTAAAAATTGCTCGATTAGTTTTCAAAAAATTAGCTCTCAAAATGTTAGCTCCTCAATGTTAATTGCATTTGATGTATATTTGTTAATATCTCTTTTTTTTTATTAAACTTGCTTCATTCTTTCTTCCAGAATTTGAAATATAGGCTTAATCCAAATATAATTCCCACATTTTTTACAATTTATTTTAAAAATTTGTATTTTTAAATATTTTTTATAAATTTTTCAAAAGAAATTTTTTACATCATCTTAAAGTAGATGTATTTTTAGGCACACCTTCAAAAAATTAGAGTTTTTTATTCAAAATTTCCTAAGATATATGTGAATTTATATATTGACATATTTTGAAATTTGGCATGTTTGTTACAAGCGATAATAACACCAAATATGCTATACACACTTTGTTAAATTTGTTTGAAAGTATGAATGATGACCCTTTTTTCTGCTCATGTGCAATGAAAAAAAAGGAAAGGAAAATAGGCTGCTTTAAATTAAGAAGTTTGCCGAGTAAATTATTCTTGGCATAACATGAAAAAAATGCACCAAGATACATTTTTGAGTTTCTCCGTAAATTTTGCACCATATTTTACAAAATTTAATATTTAGGCCTAATTTGAGTTGTAGAATCAAAATATGGAAACAAATTGGCATGTAATTTTAGAAAAAGGCCAGATTTTGTGGCGAAATACCTATATTAGAATGATGGTATGCATATATATATATAGATATAGATATAGACAAATCTAAGATATATCCTACGGCGCACTTTCGAGACAGGAAAAATGCAATTTGAATTTCGTCAATCAGCTCAGTAGAACG